AGACATGTGTAAGTCCCATGTAGGTCTGATATATAATTTAATGATCCGTGGGCTGGTGGGACCCAGAACCACCACAAAAGGATCTCCTGAGAAGGATCAGGGAAGCCCAGATAGCGAAACCTTGGCTGCGCATGACTTCAGCCGAAGCCCCCAATTTTGAACAAGCAGCCCACATCATGGTTCTCGGGCCCGACTTCGTCTTGCGACCGTGGGGCATCGCATTGATTTCCGACTCATCCAAGAATCCAGTACCGCTATAGTCAAACTGGATGAAGGCTGCATCGATCCGGTTAGCCTCATGACGATGTCTTCCAACTCAGGCACAAGCTGAAAATTGCTAGTTCATGCATTCGACCTTCGTATGATTGTAGCATTCACCCGCTGTCTCTAGAGAATGAAACGGTAGTTGGATCCATCAGTACGAACCCCTTTGCTCTTAGTAGGGAATGAGGGAATTAAGTAGCTCATATGCCCCTAAATAAATAAATAAATATATATATATATACATATACAAAATATACCCTTTTCAGGGATTCTATAGGGCACCTACTTACCTGCGCAGAAACAAGCTTGCCAAGAGACATCGCTCTCCAGCTGGATCAGAAGTTTGTCCGACAACCTGCAGAATTGAGACCGGGACTTGGATGGCAGCTCCTGGAAACCCTAAACCCTAAAAGGGTTTAGGGTTTAGGGTTTAGGGTTTAGGGTTTAGGGTTTAGGGTTTAGGGTTTAGGGTTTAAACCCAAACATCTTAATTGCTTGACAAGCCGCAGGAATGCACTGTCATCTTCTCCTTTCTCAAGGGCCGTCCTGGCCTGAAGAGGGTCTTACGAGTCTTGCAACAAGGGAGCAGTTGGCCCTTCCTGTGGCCACGGCCTCTTTGTACGTGCTGTTGCCAGACAAGTGAGGTGACCTGAGACTCAAGGAATGTCAGGGTTTAGGGTTTAGGGTTTAGGGTTTAGGGTTTAGGGTTTAGGGTTTAGGGTCCAAAAATCAGGGTAACCCTTAATATATCCCAAAACAATAGAATCCCTATTAACTGAACCCCCAAAAGGGTACCCCTGTTTTCGGAAACCCCCATGTCGATGCCAACGCCGAGGAAATCCAGGGCAGGACAAACCCGAAACCCGAAACCCTAAACCCTAAACCCTAAACCCCAAACCCTAAACCCTAAACCCACTCCCTGAGGGTCTGACATGTTGATGATCGCATCGAGGCGTGCTAGCGGGCCTTTGGGCAAGGCCTTCCCGCATGTGGCAACCTCACAAGCGAGCCACAAGACTTGGGGTTCCCTAAACCTCAATTTTTAAACCCTTAACCCTAAACCCTAAACCCGACATGGGGGGGGGGGGGGAGGGGGGGGAGGGGGGGAGGGGGGGAGGGGGGGGAGGGGGAGGGGGGAGGGGGGGGAGGGGGGGGAGGGGGGGGAGGGGGGGGGGAGGGGGGGAGGGAGGGGGGGAAAAGGGGGGAGGGGGGGGGAGGGGGGAGGGGGGAGGGGGGGAGGAGGGGGGAGGGGGGGGAGGGGGGGGAGGGGGGAGGGGGGGGAGGGGGGGGGGAGGGGGGGGGGGAGGGGGGGGGAGGGGGGGGAGGGGGGGGGAGGGGGGGGAGGGTCTCCAGCTAAACTAAACCCCGACTGCACAGGATCGCCGAATTTGCTTACAACAAGCAAACTGTTAGGGCTTACGGTTTAGGGTTTAGAGTTTAGGGTTCAGAGTTTAGGGTTTAGGGTGTAGAGTTTAGGGTTTAGGCTTTAGGGTTTAGGGTGAACCTACAATGTCTTAAGCAACCCTCATCCTCCATAAACGAACGTCCGGATAACCCCCCCCCCCCCCAATAAAACCCGTAAAAAACAAAAACAAAAACGATAAAACCCTAGCATAAAACCCATAAAAACCCCATGAAGCTCCGCAAAACCCTGTTAAACAAAAGACGATAACACCCTGTGAAAACCCTAAGCCCTCATCTATACGAACGCGTCTAGGGTTTAGGGTTTAGGGTTTAGGGTTTAGGGTTTAGGGTTTAGGGTTTAGGGTTTAGGGTTTAGGGTTTAGGGTTTAGGGTTTAGGGTTTAACTGCGAGAGGTCACGCAGAAGCTCTGAGAGCTGCGCCTCCCAGACTTGAAGAGCCTGGCCGATGCGATAGGTTTAGGGTTTAGGGTTCAGGGTTTAGGGTTTAGGGTTTTGGGTTTAGGGTTTGGGGTTGCGGGTTTAGGGTTCAATTAACAATTTTAGGAGCTGTTAAGCTCAAGCGATTCAAGCGTCCAAGGTTCTTTGAAGCAATGCTGCGCCCTAGAAAAAACTGAACCCTACAACCGATCAATCAACAGTGACAGAACCTAAACCCCTAAACCCTGAAACCTCAACCCTACCTTGAACCCTGAACCCGAAAACCCTACGTACGGTGTAGCAGCAACCGACCCTGTTCCCGAACCTGCGAATCCTCATCTCCATGGGTCAGCCACCGGACAAACCTGCGTGAGCTGCAAACGCCATTCGAAGATTTTCTGTTGGGTTTAGTCGTCCCTAAGCCCTAAACCCTAAGCCCTACACCCTAAACCCTAAACGGCCCTAAACCCTAAACCCTAAACGGCCCTAAACCCTAAACCCTGCACCCTTGGCTGCTCTTAGCAGGGTAGCTATAAATTTATTTTACCTGCCTTCTTAAGAAACCCAATAAACCCAACAAGGCTAAAGATGTAAAGTTACAGTAAAGCACCACAAAGAGCACAGTGGAGAAGCTTCCGTGCTCCAAGGCTGCGGCTCGGCGTACTGGACCTGAAAGTATCCGAACTCAAGGTCGCGTCTGGGGCGAAGGGTCGTGTGGGGCTACCTTGAAATTCCTAAACCCTATAAGCAAGCTCTAAACCCTAAACCCTAGACCCTAAACCCTAAACCCTGAACCCTAACCCTAAACCCTAAACCCCAAACCCGAAACCCTAAACCCTAAACTGACACAGTGCATGCCAAGTCCCAGGCGACTTTGTCATTGTTGGTGTCCATGCTGCTCATCATGGTGTCAAAGGCAACCTTAGCTTCGAAATTTGGGAGCCTGGCCTTGCAGTCATTTGGGGCCTGGACCCTTAACCCCACATCTGAAAGCCCTGAGCCCTTTCGTCTCTAAACCCTACACTCCACCCATCAAACCCGAAAACCCTAAAACCCTCAAACCCTCAAACCCTAAAACCCTAACACCCTAAAACCCTAAAACCCTAAAACCCTAACACCCCGAAACCCTGAAACATAGAAACCCTAACACCCGTTCGACCCCGAGGGGCGCTGTCAAAAGCACCCGGGCTCAACTTCTCCAAGAGCTCCCAGAGCTCCTGCTGGAGGTTCAGGGTTTAGGGTTTAGGGTTTAGGGTTAGGGTTTAGGGTCTAGTGTACTTCTAACCCGATTACAAGTGTAGCTATAACCCACCTCTAAGCCTCTTAACCCTAATAGGGTTATCATTGGGTTATAAGCACCCTAAACCTTAAACCCTAAACCCTAAACCCTAAACCCTGAACCCTAAACAGTACCCAGAACATGATTGAACCTCCAGGTGCGGGAGGGACTCTCGGGCCTGTCGGGGTTTTCGGGTTTGAGGGTGTTGGGTTTTGGGGTTCTATGGTTTTAGGGTTTAGGGTTTTATGGTTTTAGGGTTGTATGGTTGTAGGGGTTTAGGGTTTTGGGGTTTTAGGGTCGTAACGTTTTAGGGTTTTGGGGTTGTAGGGTTTAGTTCGGGTTTGAGGGTTTTAGGGTTGTGGGGTTGGGGTTTAGGGTTTTAGGGCTTTTAGGGTTTCAGGTTTTTCGGAATTTAGGTTTAGGGGTTTAGGGTCTCAGGGTTTAGGGTTTTAGGGTTTTGGGGGTTTTAGGGTTTAGTGGGGATTAGGGGTTTTAGGGTTTTAGGGTTTTAGGGTTTTAGGGTTGTAGGGTTTCAAGGTTGCAGAATTTTAGGCTCTAGGGTTAATTAGGATTGTAGGGTTTCAGGGTAGGTAGTGTCCCTGTAGTTCCCGCCCCAGAGTACGGAGAGACCCACCGAGTATGCCTAGAGTGCCCACCCTCATAGAATTACGCGGAGAGTCCAGAAGCCTGAAACCCTAAACCCTAAACCCTACACCCTAAACCCTAAACCCTAAACCATTCATCATTCAAACGGTAGCCACACGGCTAAACCCTGGGTTTGACTAGCAGCATGCTGGTTCTGGCTCCTAAGGACAGGTTCATGGTACTTAGTAACCCAATTGTAACTGTACTTCTAACCCAATTATAACCCTATTCTGATACTTAAGGGGCTTTTCAGTGGTTGGGTTATGAGTACCCTGAACCTCCAAGTACCCGTATCCTATAGCAACTCATTTCTAAGCAGAGGCCGGCGCTCCTCCCGTGAAATGACCCCATCTTTGTTGGTGTCGAACTGCTTGAAAACTTCGAGGATCCTGATAGGAGCTGGCGAAACTTTGTGATGCGGTGTGTTGTAAGAAGTTTCGTTCCTTTGCAGGTCCGTGTTCGGAGCGGATGTACGGCAGTGGGATACTTCGAGAACGATGTGCTGACAGACTCTGGCCTTTGCCCCTCGTCTTCAGCCATGGCTCATGTCAAGACAGTGTGTTCTCAGGAGATCTTTCTTACCATGCATCTGTTCATATGTGAAAGTTCAAGGAGGGTGTTGCAGAATCCAACTTGTAACTAGCAACTTCTTGATGTGGGTTCTGCTGCTTGATGCTTGAGCCCAAAGAGGCCGCATATGACCTCGCAGCATCGCGCAGGCAGGCGGAGAGATACCATGATACTGTCAAGTCTTGAAGGATTCTGTTGGGGCGTGAGCAACTTACCAAAGGTAATGTCTGCATGCTCAGAAACAGGAGAACACTCCAGAAGGCAAACCATACCCTAAACAATAAACCCTAAACCCTAAACCAATAAAACAACTAAACCCTAAACCCTAAACCCTGAATCACTGAACCCTGAACCCTAAACTAAACCCTAAACCCGAGACTGATGTTCGGCAGGTGCCAGGCGTGGTGGAGTTTCGGCAGAAGAAGCCGTCGTAGCAGCGGATCGCTGTCTGCTGTTCTGGCCTAACAGGGTTTAGGGTTTAGGGTTTAGGGTTCGGGCCTAGCAAAAGAAGTGTCTGCTAAATGTTTATTTCGCCCCATTGCCATATTGTTCGAAAGACAGATGATGCCCTGGCAGATATGTTCACCACTGCCCTCAACATCTCAAAAAGGCAAGGTGGCAACGTGGGTGGGCAAACCACATGTCTAGAGGAATCTTATATTCAGCATGGGCTCAGAAAAAGCCTTCGGCCCAAAAAACAAGACAAAGACCGGCTGAGTTCTTTGCGTCGTGCCCGACCCACAGATATGCCCTTCAGGACCTTCCGCCGGCAGGGTTGGCATGTGGCACAGGGGGTGCAGGGTGCATGGTGCACTGCGTCGACGGATTGAACAACAAATACAGCATCGATCGTAGAATAGCAAACGCATAAGATCCATCTTGGCAACCATAACTGGCAAGCTCTCAGGCACTGGCAAATGATTCCTTCGGAGACATTTCCGGTTCCAACTACACATACCTCGGAGAAAGCTATGTCGTCAGCTGAGTTGTGTGGTCCAGTGGTCGAGGTATCCCTGGCCCCTAAACCCCAAACCCCTGCAGTGTTCATGGCCCCAAGCATCCGTAGATCTGAGGGCTGGACGCGGCCCTCTGGACAAGGCTCGCAGGATGAGAAGTCCGGCGTCCCGCGCCAAGGTGACCTCGGGGGAGTCCCGACTCAAGGCGAAGCCCCTGTGAATTACTGGCTGGTTCTTAGTAGGGGATGAGGTATCCCATATAATCTCTTAAAGGGTACATATAAGGCCCTAATTCCCTCATTCCCTACTAAGAACAAGGGGGATTATCAATGACGACTTCCATGCTTGAGACCCGTAATTACTGCTGAAACTAATAGAAAACCCTAAACCCTAAACCCTAAACCCCAAAGAGTCGAAGCCTGGGGTTTCGGGTTTAGAGTTTTATGTCTAGGGGCTTAAGGCTTGGGATGTTGGACTTAGGGTTTGGGATTTTAAGTTGACGCTTTTGCGGCCTAAACCGCATTAGACGACCCCCCCCCCCCCCCCCCCCCCCCAGCCACCAAAAAAAAAAACAAAACAAAAAACAAAAAAACTGAAAAACCCTCAACCCGCCCTAAACCTAAACCCCGTGACAGCCCTGAAGCCTCCCTAGGCCAAAAACCCTAAACCCTAAACCCTAAACCCTAAACCCTAAACCCTAAACCCTAAACCCGAAACCTTCGAAACTGTTGAGGAACTGGGGGCAACTGCCAGGTCCCCGCTGGGCAAGGCTCGCAGGAGATCGTGCTTGAGGTGCCTTCACCCAAGGACCTCGAGACAGAGAAGCCCTAAACCCTAAACCCTAAACCCTAAACCCTAAACCCTAAACCCTAAACCCTAAACCCTAAACCCTAAACCCTAAACCCTAAACCCTAAATCGGGGGGGCGGGGGGTCGGGGAGGGGGGTGTTGTGGAGGAGTTTAGGATTTCGGCTTGATAAGGTTTGGGGGGGACATTTTTGGTGTAATGAGGAGCATTGGAGACTTTCGGGGAACACAAGTTCCATGGCTCTGAGGCAGCAAAAGGGGGAGAGCAGCATGCATGGGTCTCAGAGCTCTATAGAACCCGATACGCCTGCAATCCGACGCCGAAGTGGGCTGCGCCAAACTCCCCCGACCGCGAGCAACACATGAAGCAGTCTCGGGAGGGGGCGGTTCACGAAAGGTGCCCGGGGGGCAGATGAACCTGGGAAAAAGCCGGAATCGCTGCGGTTCACGCTTTGCGGGGCGAAGCCTGCTAGAAGCCCAACACAGAGTTGACACTTCTGAACAACTTACATGACCAAGGAAGTCTCTGCATCTTGCGCTAGATCTTATAAGTGTTTATCAAAATTATGGCCCCTGTTTGGATCCCTATTCCAATACGGCACCTAACATTTATGGTACCACAAAAGGGATCATAGCTTTGACAACTTATGCTTGTCCGCGATTCTGTGCCGTGTCTCTCCTTGCATCGGAATCCCTGTTTTGCATCGGGGCTCGCCCTCGGACTCGGTTTTGCTGACGACGATGCATGCAAGGACAAAGCACCCCTAAACCCTAAATCCCTAAACCCCAAAACCCTAAACCCTGAAACCCCAAACCCTCAAACCCTCAAACCCTCAAACCCTCAAACCCTCAAACCCTCAAACCCTCAAACCCTCAAACCCTCAAACCCTCAAACCCTCAAACCCTCAAACCCTAAAACCCTCAAACCCTCAAACCCTAAAACCCTCAAACCCTCAAACCCTCAAGCCCTCAAACCCTAAACCCTAAAACCCTAAAACCCTAAAACCCTAAAACCCTAAAACCCTAAAACCCTAAAACCCTAAAACCCTAAGACCCTAAAACCCTGAAACCCTAAAACCCTGAACCCTAAACCACCGACCCTTGCTTCAGAAAAAACTATCTGCGGCCGAAGGACGGAGTTGTCGTTCCGAAGTCCGGGCACCTTGGAAGCTGGCGCTGTTTAGGGTTTAGGGTATAGGGTTTAGGGTTTAGGGTTTAGGGTTTAGGGTTTAGGGTTTCCTGAACCCTGCAAGAAGGTTCATGGGTACTTGCTACTAAGTAGGGTTGCAAGTGCAATAAGAAAGGTTATGACCGTAGTTACTTCACTTACAACCTTACTTGTCAGTACCCATGAGCCTCCGAGTGCAGCCTGAAGCAGCACCAGACGTCTGAGCACTTGGCGATGCCCCGGCGGGACATGGGTAGCAGGTCGGCGTGTTCGTAAACGGGGCGAACTGCCCAGGGAAGCACCTCTGGCTCCAAGTCATCCCTTTAGTTTCTTTTTTTTTACGTCGGGTGTACAGAGTTTAGATCGGGTTTATGGAGTTTATATAGGGTCTTGCAAAATGAGAGGCGATAGGAGAATTCATGCCTTTGCTGGCCCTCTGGCTTAGCTTCCTAGAAGCCAAGGCAAGGTTAAATTCCGGGAGTTCAAAGCACGAGAACAGGATCAAGAGGTCACTTGGGTCGACGACCTGAAGCTCGAAGGCAGGAGTTGTTTTGGGGCTCTCATGGTCGGCCCAGGTCTGTGCGAGTTTCTGCGAGTCGCGGCTTATGCCGCGCAGTGAGACACCATGCCAGTGACGCGCGATTGTCTGAACATGTGCGTGTCACACCTGTACTAAGATGAGGCCTATCAGGTGTCAGAAAGTTGCTCCGCGAATTCCCGTCTTCACACAAGGCAGCAGCCAGGTCGGCTAGGATTTCAAGGCTTCAGAGCAGTCCTGCAGAAGGGTCAACTCCTGGTCAGCCTGCCAGCACTCAGGGAATCTAGGGGGCTGCAGCAAAGGAGTTCGGTACTTCTAAGGGTTTGGAGAGTTTAGGGTTTAGGGTTTAGGGTTTAGGGTTTAGGGTTTAGGGTTTAGGGTTTAGGGTTTAGGGTTTAGGGTTTAGGGTTTAGGGTTTAGGGTTTAGGGTTTAGGGTCTCAAGCCGCCGGTGCCTCCGGATCCTTTGCAGCCGTGAGCTCGGCCAGCCTTGCCTGGACCTGGACGCCCCAATGTGCCGAATAGAGGGGCCTTAATCATTAGAATAGGGCGGTTTAGGGTTTAGGGTTTAGGGTTTAGGGTTTAGGGTTTAGGGTTTAGGGTTTAGGGTTTGGGGGGCCATTATAGGATTATTCTAAAGGGACCAGAAGGGAACAATATTAGTAATTAATCCGACCCCATAGTATCATGAGTGTCGTTAGACTGCTTTGCTTTCTCCTGCTCTGGCTTTGAAAGGGAGTACACTCCTTAAGTCTACTGAGGAGGTTTGTAACCCAATTTCAACTGTACTTATAAGGGTAAGAGTGTCTTTTTTTTTGTTGCGGGTGCTTTTTTGCTGTGGGTGCGGGGGCGCGTTTTTTTTTTGCTGCGGGTGCGGGGGCGCGTTTTTTTTTTTGCTGCGGGTGCGGGGGGCGCGTTTTTTTTTTTGCTGCGGGTGCGGGGGCGCGTTTTTTTTTTTGTTGCGGGTGCCGTGGGGTCGCGTTTGTTTTTTTGCTGCGGGTGCGGAGCGTTTTTGCTGTTCTCTGAATATTTTACTATGAAAACCTCTATTTTCTCTAATTTTCAATAGGAAAACCTCTTTCTTCTCTATATTTGAATAGGAAAACCTCTTTCTTCTCTATATTTGAATATGAAAACCTCTGTTTTCTCTACATTTAGTATGAAAACCTCTACTTTAATTCGAAAACCTCTATTTCTCTATACTTTATAGCGAAAACCTCTATTTCTCTCTATTTTTGTCTATATCGTCATAGTTTTCCTCTATATTTAATGAGGAAGACATGAGAGAGGAATACATGAGAAACTTATTGTCTGTGTTATCTCAATGTGTGACTTGCAATTAAAAGTGTTTTGTTCCTCTTGTCCTATTTTAATAGGAAGCCCATTATTTTCTCTGTCTCTGAATAGGCAAACCTCCATTGTCTTAACATTTGAACATGAAGACCTCTATTCTCTATATTTGAATATCAAGACCTCTACATTTTGATATGAAAACACTTTGTATGTTCGCTATATTTTCGTATGAAAGCCTCTATTTCCTCTATGTTGTCATAGGAAACATCTAATTTCTCTATATTGTATAGCGAAAACCTCTATTGTTCTATGGTTTTTTTTATTTTGTCAGTATTTTCAGACATCTTCTCTTTATTTCACGAGGAAGACATGAGAGGAATACATGAAAAGCTAATTCTAATTCTCTATATTGTCATAAGAGTACATGCATTATCTCTATCTGTGACTCGTAGACAACAAGTGTTTTTGTTCATGTCTCATAACACAGGCTCTATTTTCTCGATTCTTTACTAAGAAGACGTTTATATCTCTATTTTTAAACGGAAAATTCAACTTCCACTATAAGGTCTGAATTTTCGTAGGAAAGCAGGCATATATTCCCTGTTTTTTCAGGGGGTTGGAGCGCGCATCATGGGTTTGGAAGGGATTCGTAAGCTTTGAAGCAGGCTTGCCGGCCAAAAAAAACGGGGGGGTTGGGGGGGGGCGCAGCCCCCCCCCTATTTGCAACACAATGCTCGCATCATCATGGGTTTGGAAGGGATTCGTATGATTGAAGCAAGCTTGCCCGGCTAAAAAGCGCAGCCCCCTCCCCCCCCCCCCATTTGCAACACAATGCTCGCATCATCATGGGTTTGGAAGGGATTCGTATGATTGAAGCAAGCTTGCCCGGCTAAAAAGCGCAGCCCCCCCCCCGCCCCTTTCAAGCGGAGGGGAATGCTCTCATGATGGTTTCGGAAAGGATTCATTTGCTTTGAAGCAAGCTGGCATGGCTTTAAGAAGCGGGGGGGTTGGGGGGGGGCGCAGCCCCCCCCAATTTGCAAACCCAATGCTGGCATGATGGGCTTGGACAGGATTCATATGCTGAGAAGCTAGCTGGCACGGTTTTAAAGAGGGGGGGGGTCGGGCGGGGTGCAGCCCTCCCTCCACCGTTAGCAAACACAATGCTCGCATGATGGCCTTGGGAAGGATTCAGTGCTTTGAAAACGCTTGCACAGTTTAAAGGAGGGGGGGGGCGTTGGGGACGGGGTTGGGGAGGAAATTGCAAAAACAAATGACCTGGGGGAAGGGGGGGGGGGCGCGTTTTTTTTTTTGCTGCGGGTGCGGGGCGCGTTTTTTTTTTTGCTGCGGGTGCGGGGGGCGCGTTTTTTTTTTTGCTGCGGGTGCGGGGGGGGGGACACGCGCGAGGTCACTCATCACCTGGGGGGGTGGAGGAGGAGGGGGGGGGGGGGGGGGGGGGGGGCGTTTTTTTTGTGCGGGGGGGGTGCGCGTGTTTTTTTTTGCTGCGGGTGCGGGGGCGACGTTCTTTTTTTGCTTGCGGGGGCGGGGCGACACGCGCCAGGTCACTCACTCACCTGGGGGGTGGGGAGGAAGCGGGGGGAGGGGGGGGGGGGGGGTGCGTTTTTTTTTTGCTGCGGGTGCGGGGGCGACACGCGCCAGGTCACTCACTCACCGGGGCGGCCCCCGAAAAAAGCACCCACAGCAAAAAAGCACCCACAACAAAAAAAAAACACGGGTTCCATAAGAGTAAGAGCCCCTGAGTCCCCTCAGTAGGTTCTAGGTAAGACTTACAAATTGGGGCTATAAGTACCCATAATGTAGGGTTCTAGGTAGACTTGCAAATTGGGGTTATAAGTACCCAACCCTAAACCCTAAACCCTAAACCCTAAACCCTAAACCCTAAACCCTAAACCCTAAACCCTAAACCCTAAACCCTAAACCCTAAACCCTAAACCCTAAACCCTAAACCCATACTGAACCTCCAAGCATGAGCCTTTGAAGCCTCGCTGTGTCGATCCTCAGGTTCCGACCGCTGAAAGCAGCTCCGGCGGGCACTGAGCCTGCATAGAAGCCTAAACCCACCCTAAACCCTAAACCCTAAACCCTAAACCCTAAACCCTAAACCCTAAACCTTAAACCCTAACAGGGGACGCAGGGCGCCTGGTAGGCTCGAAGACTTTTGCTGGGGCTCCATGGACGAAAACCCTTAGCCCCAGTAACCCTAAACCCTAATCCCTAGTAACTACTAGCCCTAAACCCTAGTAACCCTAAACCCTAGTACCAAAACCCTAGTAACCCAAAACCCTGGTAACCCTAAACCCTGGTAACCCTAAACCCTGAACCCCAAATCCTTAACATCCGGGAACCCCGAACCCTCCCTGTGACCTTGAAGCCCCTTGCGAACTGAAGAGCGCATGAAGCCAGGGTCTCCTAGTCCAAGGAGCGATGCAGGGGTTTAGGGTTTAGGGTTTAGGGTTTAGGGTTTAGGGTTTAGGGTTTAGGGTTTAGGGTTTAGGGTTTAGGGTTAGGGTTTAGGGTTTAGGGTTTAGGGGCCAGGTTTTAGGGTTGAGGGTGGCTTCTGGGGTATGACCATGCCTTCTAGGGTACCATGTGCCCTCACATCGGAAGCAATAGGGGTTCAATGAGAAGGTCGTTTGGAGGTGTGGGTTTGGGGCTGCCGTGTCTGCCAAGTCATTAGGGATGGGCACTGGAATCTTCAACCGCAACACACCTCAACCAACCCTAAACCCTAAACCCTAAACCCAAAACCCTGAACCCTGAACCCTGAACCCTAAACCCTAAACCCTATTCAGTTCATGAGGAAGACGATCAGGCCCCCAGCAGCGAAGAGGTTGCGAGCGACGCACGTGCAATCAGGCTTCAGGGGCTTATCTTACACTGTCTTCTGCCGGCAACATGACCGGCGGCAAAACTCAATATTCAACAACGGCTCAGGAGCCCCCTTGCCCCTGAAGTTTCGGCCCTAAACCCTAACCCTAAACCCTAAACCCTAAACCCTAAACCCTAAACCCTCCTTAAACCCGGCCATTATGGCCCTTGTTGAGGGAGTAGATCACCCCAAGGCACCCTCTCCTTGTACTGGATTCCGGCATCCTGGAGGTGCGATAATCTGTCAAGGAGAGGGAGGGGTTTAGGGTTTAGGCTTTAGGTTTTGGGGTTTGGGGTTTGGGGTTTAGGGTTTAGGGTTTAGGTTCAGGGTTTAGGGTTAAAGGTTCGGAGGAAGCAGTGCTAGGTCAAGATAGGTGTCCAGGGAATGCTTGGCGCCGCCCGCATGGCGTCGTCCTAGGGCCCACTTTCAGCGCCTTCCTTTCGTGACTGCCTCATGAGGCACCATACTGATCACCATACCTTCGACAGGAATCCACACAAGATGATTTTACAGAAGACACCAAAATCCCCGGACTAGGATCATGCTCATATAGGGGCCTTAATCGTTAGAATAGAGTTTTGTGGGC